GATTTTTTTTTTTTTTTTTTTTTTTTTTTGAGAAATCTTAGAAAGTGAATATTACTTCTTCAATCAATAAATTTTTTTAGATTAGAAATGGAAGTAATGATTAACGATTAGTCTGATTCTTCCTGCAGAAAAAGTTCATGTTCGTTAACAAGAAAATGGGAATTTCCGTTGCTTCTTGTAGTTTTATATATTATTACTATTTTCTATTCCGCTGCCCGTTGGGGATATTTATCTTTTACTTTTGTCGCTTTCCGATGTATTCGAAAGCAGACTGGAGAGGGCCCGTTTTACGGTGGCGGTGGATAAAGCTGAGGGCACTGCCACCGCTGTGCGAACAGTCGAAAAAGTTGCAAGTGCTGCGGCGCTGCTGCCGCTGGTCTGAACTTCTTTTGAAAAGACATTAAATTCGAACAAGTATTCTCTCAAAAGGTCAGAATGACTTGTAATAAAGCTGAAGATGCATTATGGTTGCCTGTCAGTAGTCGACCGCATGGTAAAGTTGAAGCACCTTCCATTATTTGAAGCCAACCCCCAGATTTCACAAACTGCCCACTTTCTTTCATGCTTATAATAATCCAAGTAGCAGATTATGAGCCGGAAATCGAATGGAAAATAGATGGGGGCGTCATTTTATTAAGCCGACTTCATGTTTCAAGTAAGCTTTCTTTCCCTTAGTTATTTGTAATTCTAAGGTATTTTGTGACGCTTGTTTTGTTTACAACCTTGAATCTGACTGATGGTTATGTTGGGCTGATGAAACTTTTATTTTCCCCCATTCTATAGCTTGAAGAACAAACCTCTTCGGTTTTGTAGCGAACTAGAATGGAGCAACGCCATAGATGGAGAACAGTCAAAAGCTAATCTCCTGAAGATCGCTTCAGACAATTTATTGATGTAATTTACGAAAAAGGTAACTGTTCTTCCCTTTAATTCTCGATGAATTTGTTATAGGATTAAATTTTCATCTACACAATTATGATTATTATTATTGTGTTGAAGATCATAGCGCGCTTAAAGACATGTGAGGACACTATGTGGTTGGGGGAGGAGAATGAAACATTGTTTATAAGGGTATAGAAAACCTTATAAAGGTGTGGAGTTCAAAAGCGTTGAAGGAAAGTGTGAGCTAGGGTCATTACATTGTATCCTTGAATTGCAATAACATTAAAGACAGATGAGCGCATCTTTTTCCTCAAACGTGCACCAAATAAATTTGAGGGCATATGTTAATGTCCAAGGTTGAAGAGTTGATTGTTAAGATTTAGAAATTGTATAAGCATGAAGGATAAGTTATATAGCATATATAGATATTGATTTATTTAACAATAGATAGCAAATCTATAGCCCTGAAAATATATATATATATATATATGAACATATTTAATTTCTGAAATTTCATTATAAATAAGAACATAAATCAAAGGTTTACATCCCCCCAATTCCAGAAAACTTTAATTAGATCTCCGGTTAGAAATATGATTCATGTTGTTTTGGTATTATGAAGAACACACACTTTCATGGTGCTTGAGGGTTTTTTTATTTCCCCTCCGCCATTCTTTTCAGTGTTAAGTAAGTTTGTAGCTTCTGGATGATGACAAAAAAATCATAACATCAGTCTGTCTGTGCAGTCCAGCCACAAAAAATCTCGTACGGAAGAAGTGAAAAATATTGATAGTTTTGAATCTAACAGTCTACCCCCCACTGCTTCTCCGGTGACAGTTTCAGGTTTGTTTTTGATAACATTATGCTTGAATCATTCAGGTTAGATGTAGAAGTAACATGACAAATTGGTATTGAGATATATTCATTCAAGAACCTAATATTAACTCTCTTCACTCTTTCAAAGCCTAATTAGGACTGTGCGCAACCATGGATGCATTATTTCACGAAATGGGTTTGTAGTAAAACAAGTAGTACGTTCTTACATGTGTTTCTTCTTCATGGCTTGTTTTTTGTTGTGCATCCAAACCTTGAAAACTTGCCTCCTTACGCCCACCTCATCGCAGAACTGCTGCATTTCTAGTTCATCATGTTTCTGAATCTTCCACCCCAACCTTTCAGCAAATTCTACCATCTTCTCCTTCTGTTCCTGTGTGAACTTTGTCCTGAATCGTTTCTTCATCAGTTGTGTCTGCTGACAGAACAGCTCCCGGGCTCCATTATCAGACGGATAATACATATTCAGGCCCTCACTGGAAGACTCATCCGGAGCTCCATTGCTTCCTCCTCCAAATGCCATCATCATCGAAGAAATTGGAACTGCCGGTAAATGATGGTGACGAGAGAGTGGAACTGGCGTCCCATCACTGCGATGGCCATTGTTTCTGACCGAGTTGGAGATGAAGAAAGCACCGAGTAAAGCTTGCTGTGAGAGCGGCTCGTCTCTCATCTCTTTTCGGTGAAAGTTCCGATGGCATTCACATGCTGCACACTTAGAGGCCTCAGGCGTTCCATCTTCTCCATTTGGCATGAACTCGCCGCAGCCGTCTAGAACGTAGCCTCCAGTACTTGCTGCGTGATTCTTCAGACATTCTCGGTATCGAATTACCGATAAAGGAATACTATTGTCCATTGCACCTTGAACTGATGTTCTTGAGATTGATCTGCTGCAGGTTGTGGATGGCGGAGTAGCAGCAAATGAGAAATGGAGCTGGGGTACGGTGTGATCTTTTCTTCTTCTATCGGCAGCTGTTATTAGAAGAAGTGGATGATTAGGCAGCAGTCTGGTTGAGAATTAGGAGTTCCTATTTCCTTGTCTTCACCTCTTGATCCGATCTTGATGTTACTCATTTACCTGGTAGGTCCCTCTCTCTATTCGATATTCAAAGATGATGCTGTCATAGATGTTGAAAATTTGTCCTTTTTTGTCTTTCCGTGCCCCCATTAATCCATTTATTTCCTGTTACCGAACAGTTTGAGCACTTGGGGGAGAGACGGAGGACGCAAAAAAGACACAAGATATTATGAAACGAATCTTGGGAGTTCATTAGCTAGTTAAGATCCTGATCAAAGGAAGCTCAGGACTAGTCATTCGTGGAAGATCCAAATGAATGTCCAAGGTAAATGAGTAAAGATTGATTACCTTTTGTGGGAGATCGGATCAAGTGGAGATAAGAGGAGAAGACTAGGAAATAGGAACTCCTAATCCTATAATAATCCATCAAATGGGAAATCTTCAACTAAACTGCTGCCTAATTCTGATCATCCACTTCTTCTAACATCAGCTGCGGATAGAATAAAAGATCACACTGTACCCCAGCTCCATTTCTCATTTGCTGCTACTCCACCATCCACAACCTGCAGCAGATCAATTTCAAGAACATCAGTTCAAGGTACAATGGACAATAGTATTTCATTTCTCGGTAATTCGATACCGAGGATGTCTGAAGAACCACGCAGCAAAATCTTACCTTGATGAACTTGGGGAGGGCGGTGAGAAGGGCGGAGGAAGGGGGAAAGAAGGGGTTTCTTTTGTGTGTCCTACGACCCGCCCAAACCCAAGAGATCGGTAGCCGCAGGTGAGGGTTTGGTTTGGAGAATAAAAGCAACGATGCAGAAGGGTACAACAGACAAGGTCATGTTAGTCATCTCTCACAGCTTGCGGCTTTTGGTCCTGTTTCTAATAATTGCCTTTTTCTGAAAACCCTAAACCCACTCCCCTAATGAATGTCTTAAAAATATACAAGACAGCCAGAAAGCGAGGGACTAAAGACAAGAACCGAAGTAGAAAAACAAGATGGTTTTCTGACTAGACATTAAACTTGGTTGCCAGATCTTCCAATCTTTTTCGACCTTAACGTCATTTTCATCCCATTGTATGCGTATGATGATGGTTTTCAAGCAGACATTCTTTTGAAGTGTCATCATTCCATATCATGATGGTTGCGTAATAATTGCACTTTAAATCACCATAAAATATCAGTCTTTACAATTAGCTACGATGTCATGACATCGAATCTTCGTCTTTTGTATATGCAAGACGATTATGTACCATGTCTCATAACTAGATGATAATACTTCAAAACCGTCATCAACGAGTATAAGAAAATAACACAATTCTAGAGCACAATCTATTAATTCAATTGAAAACAATATCATGCAACTCTCTCACAATCAAATCTTGCATTTCTTTTCATCCAAATAACCAAGCTCTCATAACTATTCAACTGCACGATTATCGTGATAGTTACAAAATTTTCACTTTCAAAATTGGTTTAAAGCTACCAATGTTTCAGAAAAAATTACACAATTTTGGTAAGTACCAAAGACAATAAGAAGTGGCTATGAAATGGCAATTTCCTCAACGCGTTTAAGAACAAAAATCGAAGCATGATAAGAAAATTGTACCATTTGAGTAACCCATTGGATCAACTAAGAACAAGTTATGTAGAATTTAAGGCTGTGGCTGTTGCTGTCGCAGTGCTTATGCTTCCTCCACTCTACTCATCGCCTAACAAAAGCCTTTGCTATTTGCCATTTATATCAATCGCCAAGTTTTGGGTCATGTGAATATCCAAAGAAGAAATTGTTTCCATTAACAAGCATAGTTATTATCACGGGAGTGCTTTAATAAAAGCGATGATTGAGTTTGGTCGCATTTCTTATAACATGCATCCCGAAGAAACTAGAGCTAATGTAATTCAGTATTTTCTTTTATGTGCAAATTTTCTCGATTTATCTTTCTAAGTGAGCAGTTCCTAATTAAGATGCAAGTATGAAAGGTTTTATAGGTCTTTGTGTCTAATTTGGAATCTCTATCTCTAACAAAGTAGCTACTAGTTCACTATATTTATATGTATCATCATGGCTTGAGGCCATTTGTTTTTCTATATACTTTTTGAGCGGATAGTCCTAATTTAGATTTTCTTATAACTAAATGGAAAAAACAAGAAAATGTACATTTAATCAAATTTGTGGTTTAAATCAAATAAATAAAATTAAAAATTTATAGTTGAAAATTGATTTTAAAAAATGGTAGAATCAAAGACGGTATTAAGTGTATTATTTTTTTCTATTATTAGTTATTATGTAAATAATAATTGGTAGTTAATATTTTAAGTCATCCAAAGTAACGCGGCTTCCATGGCGGCAGAGAACAATTCCCAATATAAAAATAATCAATAATAAAATGAAGTGATTACGTGGCAAAAGTCCAATCATTTCCATCTCCATTGCCCAACACGGCTCCCATCCCACTCATTTTCACATATTTCTCTCTTTAATATTATTTCATTTTCCGAAATTTCAAAAATTTCTAAAATTGGAAGTGAATAAGAAATGTATGAAGTCCGTGAGAAGCAGAGAAATCGGTACCAATTATTGGGCTCTTCTTCTTCTCTCTCTCCCTTCCCGACAAAATAACATCCATTGAAAGCCCAACCGACGCCCTAATGGGCTGTAATTGGGCCCAATAAGGGATCCTTATGGGCCGTCATCTTGAATTATGGATATTTCTCGTTTTGGGCTCAAATCTAGATGGGCCGACAGATGGAGACACAAAACAAGGGTTCAGCATAATCCAATGAAGATGGATGTGTTCTTACAAAAAAGAAATTTTAATTCAAAAACTGCAGAGATGAAATATTGTTGGAAAGGAAGCACGGACACAAATTCGCCCTAATACTTAAACGATTCACCCAGATTCACATTACAACGCCGCCGCCGTTCGCCGTGTTCATCTTCAAATCCCCATCATCCTTCACGATTTCCTTCATTTCCATCAGCCTCCACATATACCAAGCCCCCATCGACCTGTACGGCTTCCATTTTTCACAAAGTTTCTCCATCTCCACTGGCTTTGGCAATTCTTTCAGTCCGTACAACCTCTGCACCCCTTTTCTCACGCCCAAATCCCCCACCGGCAGCACATCCGGCCGGTGCAGAGTAAAAATCATGAACATGTGCACTGACCAAACGCCGATTCCCTTCACCGCCGTTAACGCACTCAGTAGAGTCTCATCGTCCATCTCTAGAATCGATGAATTCGACAAACTGCCCTCTATGAATTTGGTCGCTAGGTCATGAAGGTAACTTGCTTTTCTACCCGAAACTCCGACCACTCGCAGCTGTTGAGGCGAGAGTCCAAGTACGGCGTCCGGTAGTACTGCCGCATCTCCGCCGCATAGCGACGCGAAGCGATTGTAGATCGATTCGGCGGCCTTCGTAGCGAGCTGCTGGTAGAGGATGCTCTTTGTTAGGGCTAGAAACGGTGGATTGGACTTGAAATTGGGGGATTCGCATGAATCTAATAGCCTTATCAGAAGGGGATCCGAACGGCGTAAATGATCGATCGCTGTACAAATTACATCCGAAGACGATAAAGATTTGACAGGACCATCCTGGTTCGGGAATGCTCGAGTCCGGTCGCCTCCGCCAGGAGTTGATATCTGTGGTTTGTCCGATTTTTGAGTGGAAGAAATCTTCCGTATTTTTGTAGTTCGAAACGAAATATTAGACGGTGGATCGGCGTCGGTTTGAGACTCGGACTGTAAGAGTAACTTCCGGCGGGTTCTTCTGGCCATCGGCGGTGGTAAATGATTTGTGGGTAGAAGCTGGGTTTTGAAGAGGAAGTCAGGTGGAGTGATGTACAGACGTCGCGTTACGATTGGTTGAGACGATATCATCTCCTCCTTTAGCAGCTCGAAGCTTGAGGTGCACGATTTGATTTCCAGGTTATAATATGATATAACTCGGTCAAACTCATCAGCTTTGACTGTAATTATACAATTTACTTTTTAATCATTTAATTTACTTCAATTTTGTTCACGAAAAATAACCATTTTTATCATTTTGATTCAACTTTAAATTTTAATAAACTCAACGTTAAGCTTAAATAATAATGTAATGTTTACCTTCGCTAAGTTGCTCCCTAATTTTAACTCAATGTTTTTATTGCACTCACAACAAAAAAATTTCACTTTTTCCTAAAATTAAATATTGTAAAAATATTTTATAATTTTGCAATAAGAGAAAAATTCCGTTGAGTATAAACCACTCACTGAGTTATGGTTGAATTGGTCGAGTTTACTCACTGAGTTATGGTTGAATTGGTCGAGTTAGGGTTGAATTGGTGGTCGATTGTTAAACTGCTAAAAGTTCTCAAAATTGTCCTATTCAAATAATATACGTTGAATTCAGATATTTTTCATTAAAAAAAATCATGGCTTTAAAAGATTTGATTGACACAGGATTATTATATTAAAATTGATTTATTGTTAAGTAATTTTATAATTTAAGTTTTTATGGTATAACATAATATTTAATTTTTTAAAACTTTATATTAAACTAATTGAGGAGGATAAGCAATGCACCGTACTATTCCACTGGGAACTAAGAAAGAGAAAGTAAGAGAGAGAAATGAGATTACATACATAATATATATAATTTTAATATTTCGATTTTCACAAACATTGACGTATAATGGAAAAATAAGAAGCAGCCAAAAAAAATTCTGAAAGGAAAAGAAAAAAAAAAAAAAAGGATGATGTGGATTCGTTAGAGGAGACAGTATTTCCATAAAACCGTCTCACCATCTTTTAAAATTCCTTCAACAACACTATTATAGTGGTGGCTTTTTTTTTTTTTTTTTTT